ATAGATAGTATACATACAAAAAAGCTTTTAAAACTTATTATTCATTTCATTTTATCACTTTTCCTTCTGCAAGGCAAGTAAAAGTGGCACCCTTCGTAACTGTCGATTATCAAACATTACTCATTTAAAACAAACTTATTTAAACTAAGATGCATAGCATGAAAACTCACTGAATATTATTTTCAATTCTTATCAAATACTCATGAAAATATAGGTTACTACATACAATAGTTTAATTTGAACAGAAAAAGAACCATTCGATTGGTAACTCTTGATATACAATTTTCAATTCATTACTATTTAGCAACCATTCTCACTCATCGTCGCATTTGTTTTCTTATGATTCGAATACTAAAAAATTTCTTTGTAACGATACAAACGAAATCTATTTAGATGTTTATGTTTGTGAGACCTTCAGAAAAGAATTGTCTGAGTTCATCTCAATTATCGAAACTGTGAAATAACAACACCGTCTGTCTGTTCTTTTTCTTTCTTTTCAATCATTACACAAACTTCTATTTGTTTTTATTTTTTCATTCTAATATGAACGCCTATTCGGAAGAAAAATGTCACCTGGATTCTTTTGAAATTCATTCATGTCAAAAAGTAACTTTTCTTTTTTCATCCACCTTCACGTACCAACATTGCATTGAATGTGTATTTTAATTTAAACTCAAATATCACAGTAAGTACGTATCAAAACACTAGTTTCATCACGGTTCGTAAATCTTAGTTGATTCATTAGTAGTAGAAATCAAAATATCTCATAGAAAGAGAATCTAGTTTTTCCAAATGTCAAAAAACTTAATCAAATCTATGCTGCTACGACAGATCGCCATAATTAATCTGGCTTTTTTAAAAATACTGTCTGAATTGCATTATATAAATATTAGAATATGGGAGCTACTCAACTAATTGATTATCTTTAGTTTATTCTCGATTGGAAACTTGTTTTTTAAACAGTACTTCAATCTTGTTGATCATATCTTGACTGCACCCATTGATGCAAAATCAATATCACTTATTTTTCAAATACGTTGATATCAATATCTAAGAAAAGATGTCCAGTTACTCTAACAATGCATAAAAATTGTTCCACTTTCGAGTAGTATCAAGTACAATTCATATATTTCTTTCTTTGAAAAGTTTCTATTCCCTCGCCTTTGTCAAAAAAATTCACCACGGTAGGACATTGATTAGTAATACATAATTCCTAGTAAGAATACAAAACAGAATACTAAAAATGGAACATGTATATTCGTATTGGATGTATTCCAAATCGGCAAGGCACATACAAATCAAGAAATCTAAATAAATCTTTAAAGTTAAATCATGTTGATCAATAAAACCAAATTTTTCAGTTTTGATATTATGACTTTGAATAGTATCTTCATCATCTCAGTTCAGTTAGGATGAGTAAAATAATTATTACTTTACTTATTCTAAATATTTGAACCTCTGAATTTAGATCAAACAATGCTGAAAGAATTACACTCATTCGTTCCTCAAAAGCATTACATTTGTCAATCTCTTGGCTGTAATAATCGTTGCTCTCGAGAACATAAAGTTTCTACTGTTCCTATTGCAAACATTAAGAGTTGTTATCTTTCTCTTATTTATTCTGCTGAACTTTATTACCATCATAGTGATTGGATTTGTGAAAGTTGTGGTCGTGATGATGACTTTCATTATTATCAATGCCAAAGATGTGGACATATTTATTGTTATGATTGCTGTTTTAAATAAAATTCATTCATTCTCGACACAAATTTATGACATTTAGTTAAATTCGTTGTCTATTGTTCATTAAAAACCTATTTTACTCTCTTAATAATCAAAGCGAATTATTACGGTTTGTTTTGACCTTGTTCAAAATAACACCTCACTCAATATTTCATTGTATTCTATTCTGATAAAATTGATTACTAGTATACCAGTATAGCTCTTTTGAATATACATAATACCTTCTTATGTTAGCTCTTGTTGCAGTTTGCAAAGTCGATAGATGAAAGCAAATCTTTCGTTTTACAGACATTGAAAATGACATGCTGGTAATGGAGAATGTATTAGTGCTATATTAGTACCAATTTATATTCATTTCCTTCATGAAAAAAAATATAGTGCGTGCTAATCTTCAAACAGACGGATGTTTTAAAAATGAGCAATATAATCTGAAAATACAAAGCGACAACATATAAATATGGAAATGTCCTATGTGTTCTTGAATGCTAGATGATTGAGTGCCATTTCTTATTTTACTTATTCAACTTTACTAACATCTTTGGTATTGTCAAAATCGCTTGTTAAATGGTTTTACAAGTGAAGAAGACGAAAAAAATCTAAGTAACTAAGGAATTCATTTTGATCGATTAAAACATTTAATATTAGGACAATTTTCATGTTTGACATGAAATATGCAGTAGTTTGAATTGAAATCTATGATAATTTTTGCATTCTTATAGATCGCTTGTAAGATTTTGTTAAAAAAAAGATATTGTATTGTACGTCGAGTGAAAGTATACAATTCTTTTTCTTGCATTTTGATAAAAAAAGATCTAAAACATGGAGTGACATGTTATCTTTACTTTGGCAAATAAAGCAACCTTCTGTACAGCATTTTGAATTTATTGTGTGTTTTCTAGTCCAGCACCATATGCTACAGCATTATAAATTCTTTCCAAACGATTTCTTCATAAAATAATTGAAAAAATAAATTGAAGGAAATCGAAGGCGTGTATATTACTTTATGTTTCATTTATTCGATAGATAGATGGTTCTGAAAATGTTTTTACATGTGGTATTATTAAAAGTATTTAATTTTAAACCAAAAAATAAAAAATAGTAACAATCTATTTTAAATATTATAATTCATTTTACTATTGTTTTTCTTAATCAAATGAATGGTCATGTAACGAATGCTCTAATACTGACAGCGACTAGATGATATATTGATTCTGGATAACGAGTTCATACTCGAGCCAAAGCTTTTCCATCTGTTATAGTATTTTCTAAGTCGTGATTTACAATAGTTCATTCATTTAACTTTATGTGAGATTATTTTGTTGAATATAATTGTAATTGACAAGTATTAATTACATAAGTAGCATTATTAAAAGCTTGTCAATCTTAGAAAATAGACTAAGTTATTGACATAAAATATTCAATAACAATAAAAAAACGACGCTTTTGATTTATTCCTTGTACAAAGGGTGTGGGTGTAGGTGGGAGTCTTCTCTATACGGAAAGGAAGGAACACCCATACCCACACCTACCCACACACCCACACCCAAGCAAAAAAAATTGACCTAAATTCGCTCGTGATAAACTGGTCTCTTCGACTCAGTCATATCATTGTCGACATTCTTGTTTGTTTCTTCTACTCTTTTTATTCCTAGCTGTATTGCTTTTGTCACTGCATTTTATATTCTACTACTACACAGTTGTAGGTTCATAAAAGAGAAGAACAGTGTATCTATCTACTATTTCTATAATACTTTATATTTTATATCTTTTCAATTGAGAATAAAACTAAAATAATTTCATCACCTACATCTTTATCAATATTGACTGTGGTTTCAGAAGAAGAATTGCAATATGTCATAGAATTTGATAAAAAATCAAATCATATTTTATCAAATATTTTACACCTGTAAGTTGACAATCATTCAGCTATCTACTAATCAAAATAGCAGAAGAATAATATTAAACTCTATGTATTCGAAAATATTGTGTAATGACTATATTTGACGATTCAAAGAGACATCTTGTTATTGATGTGAATAATTAGATGAAAAAACTGAATTTTAATGACAAGTTGTAATCTTTGCAAACAATTGTTTTTGTTTATTACATATTTCTAGGTCTTTATATTAAACCTATTGGTTTGCACTCAATATTGCGGCAGGAACTTGACTGATGACATGAGGAACATCAAATTCACATGTAATATCATTTATCAACTGATCCTTCAAACCAATTTTCTTTCTACAAATTACCCAGTATAATCAGCAAATCTACAGCAATGTCCTCTGATTTAAAGTCATTAAGTATTACCTGTAAATCAACAACAGAAAAAGCGGACAATGTATTTTTCTTCTGTTGCATATAGTTTTTTTTTCGATAAACTATTTTATCTCACTGAAACGCAGTAGAAACAATGGGTTTCATATTCATAAGACAAATACGTTTCTATTACTCTGAATGTATTTGATGTATATACTAATTTGGCAGAAAACTATATTTGTATGTTTGAGTTTTGTGCTATTAATCATATGCAAATAACTATTCAGTAGAAAATGCTTGATGATCGCAACTTCTTACTTGCTTGCTTTTCTGGAATATCAAAATAACTTTTCGTGTTTCTATTATTATCACTGTTAGCCACATATTACTGTGACGATTTTTGGATAGAAGAAGTGTTAGCGCTGATGGAAATGCGCTTTATTATATTTCTTCTTATCAAGAATAGCATTATTTACATACAAAGCACACGTTTATGTACGCAACCAAAAGAAAAGAAGGGAAGAAAGAAGGAAAGGAAAATACAAAAGAGAACAGAAGAAGATACGGATAAGAGGAAGAAGAATTATGAGAAAGAACGTATATAACAGTATCGTCACAATTACTGTTTGATCCTTTGCAGTTCGGCTACTGCGAACATAGAATTCTCTGATATTGGTCAAAGAATAACTCAACTTGACGAATATCGCGAGTTCAAATTGTATCGATGAATAATCATTTTTTTGTAAAAAAAACACGCTCAATAGGAATAATCCATAGACTAGTCGGGTCGAACATTATCAAATCCAAATCTTTGACTACTTATCCCGATCTCTATAATGAACCGCCGAGGTCAGTTCTTATACTGTAAGAAAAAAAGCAATTTTTGTAGTATAAAAATTCCTTTTGTGTTTTAGATACTGTTTATAGATTAGTTAAATCATGATTGGTTAAATAATCTTATATATTTTAATAATTATTATTCGACAGTAGTTATCTTCATGGCAATAGCTCGTTCTGTAGCAATTATTGGTGGAGGAATAGGTGGTTTGACAGTGGCCAATACTTTAATGCGTGTAGGAATGTCTGTTTCATTATATGAACGTGCCCCTTATTTTATTCCAACGGTCGGCGCTGGATTTGGCCTTCAACCAAACGGACAAGCAGTACTCGCACACATTGGCTTTAAAGAAAAAGTTGAACAAATCGCGCATCCCCTTCTTATATGGCAGATTATTAATGGTAATGGTGGTATGATTCTTTCATCAAATAGACCTGCTAGTTTTGGTAAACGGTTTGGTTTCTCTTTCGGAGGTACTATTCGTGCAGAACTTGTTGATATATTGAAAGCACCCATAGAAGCATGTGGTAATTTACACTATAATCATAATGTTATCAATATTACACAAGATTCTGATGGTGTAACGATTTATTTCGAAAATGAAAAACAGAAAAACTCAATTCGTGTAGACATGGTCGTGGGAGCCGATGGTATTCATTCAACAGTTGTTAAAAAAATATTTCCACAAACTCCTCCACCAATCTATACGAAAGAAAATATATTCTATGGTGTAATAGACAATATCGATCAGCAAACATCTGTTAATTCGTTAATTAGAGCTAAGAACACATTAACACAATTCGTTGATCGTGGTGAATTTCTAGCCTATCGAATTGGTCAGCATGGAGAAATGATGTGGGGAACCACCTATCCATCTGATGCACCTCCGTCGACCAGTGGAGATATTGAATGGACAGAAATAAATAATAAACGAGAATTAGATAACGTATTAAAGAGATTTCCTAAAAAACATCCTATCCATGAATGTGCAGCGGCAACTGGTCAAAAACGTTTGCTTCATTTCGGATTATATTATCGTCAACATCGCACAGATGGATGGCATCGTGGTCGGGTCTGTTTACTGGGTGATTCATGTCATGCAACATTGCCCTATGTCGGTCAAGGAGCTAATATGGCTATTGAAGATGCAATTTCACTTGCAACATGTTTAGAAAAGAATAGCTTTCGAATTGAGCCATCATTTCAGGATTATTATAATCAACGTTTTGATCGAACAAAGCGTATTGTTAATTCGGCACGATATTTAGGTTTGATCTTACATTCACAAAATCCTATTATAGCATCAATAGGACGACGTTTAGGTCCATTTATGATGAAGTCTGAACGATTTATGAAAATGATGGAAGATGAATTTTATAACAAATGTCCGATCCCGATGAAACCGTTGTAAAACATTGTAATAGTTATTAGCTCATGTACGCATTTTATTTAACTAAGCAATTTGAAATAGAATAAAATTGAGAAAAATGTTGTAATTTATATTTTTTTTCCTTAAAAGAACAAAATTTCAACTACCATGCAATGAGTGGGTGATACAAAATTCCAGATACAGATAAGTACACTTCGTAAACTCTATAAATTGTTGCATGTAGCTATTCGAGCCAAACCCTTCACGGTTCATTATTATCATCACGTTACTTAATGCATAAGCAAGTTGTGGGAAGAATGAGCAACTTTGTCTGCACGTTCGACGACATCTGCTTCACCTTCGTAGTTAAAGAGCAAGGTAATGATAGATGACGATGAGATCGATTTCGCTCTGAAGTATGTAGCATCGAACGATGTAGGTCCCATTGAGTTGTCCTGGATAACCGAAGCGCACTGTTGGTCATCACGCAGCGAAATCAGACGTCGTGTCAGATAAATCTTTCTACTACCTGTGTTGCCCACTATAAATACGGCAAGCATCCGTTTTTCGACACTTCTGCTCGCAGAGGATGCTGAATTGCTAGCGGTTTTGAAAGCAAGACTTAAACTAGGATGTGGATGTCATATATCATACCATTTCTTTGATCCTCATTGTATGCTGAAACAATTGCTTGGTTATTACAACATCGATTTTCATATGCACTTTTCAATGATTTAAGAAAATCTCAATTTAGGTAATCAGTCTATATCTCAGTGATGAATTTAAAAACGAATAGATAGCATATTTCAAATGACTGAAGTATGACTACCATATACGAGAGAACGAAAAACAATTTTGTTATTGATTATTTTGACACGTCGTTCTATCGAGTCTGAACATGTCTGAAGATCACCCATGATCATCACTGAATCTTGAAAAAAAACTGAACAATTTTTCTAGCTATGTTATTAATTGAAAATTTCACTAATGACGACTTTTTTTTATATTGAATTCGTTATTTGTCTTCACAATAAATATCATGGAACTACAAATATATTAAATTCATTGATAATAATAAATTGATTTGAGTTAAAAGACTTTGCTTCTTTGAAATGTAATCACATTGTTTATCGTCTGTAAAAAAAATAATAATAATCATTTCTCGTATTCATCATCACGTTTGCGTTCTTCATACTTTGTTTTTCTCTCGACTCTTCTCTCGAAAAACTCAAAATTACGAAAAGTCTTTAGCGAAAAGCCTCATACTTAAATTCCTATGAATAATTAACTCGATAATAAGACTTATTGTGAATTCTTTGTCAATATAAATTTTTGTTTAAATTTCATGAAAATCATTTCGACAATGGTGTGCGTGTGGGTGTGGGTGTGGGTATGGATGACCAACACCCACACCCACCCACCCACACCCACACCCACACCCACACCCACACCCACACCCACACCCACACTCATACCCACACCCACACCCACCCACACCCCGCATCATATGGTTTACAAATTAACCAAAACAATCTGTACCATAACTACTTCGTTTCAAAACGATGAGAAGAGGAAATACCATGGTAGGTAGTGCCACCTTCTCTGTCACTAATGTTTCTCTTCATACCTTAGTTAGAAAATGCATCTGTCTACTAAAAATTAGATCACTAATTATTGTTTTAATTACTATCTGTAGTTCTGCATTGGTATTGGGCTTATAGAAATTCTATAATTTCTGTAATTTGCTCGATTTGAATGATTTAGAAAGTCATGTATAATGAATTCAACAGTTCCTTCATCTAAAAATGGAATTCTAACATTGGTAAAGTTGCCACTAGATTCAATAAAATCTTGTCCACATTCGCCTCCTTATCTGTGCTATTGATCTAGAGTGTGAGTATGGTTAAGAATGTAAGAACTCCAGTAGACAGATCAACACCCATATCATATCTACACTACACACAGTACACTCACAACTACACTCACTTCTTGCGGTTTCACTATCTAGGAAGGTGTTTCTCTTGTGAGCAGTTCGAGGCTCCATTGATTTCATAGGACCTGCTGACTCATGCATCTTTAGCTTTTCTGTGCATGAATTCTGTGCCGTCATTATCTACGAAATAAGGTTTATTGGTCAGCTGCGAAAGTTTATACGCATCATGGGGATAGAACTTCAAATCGTTGTACACGATGGTTATCGTTATTCTCGACGACATAGAGCCGTTCTTGACGATCGAATGACAAGCCGGTGGGGCCAATCAACTTTCCACGAGCGACAACCACACTGCCCTCAGATGCCCCTCTAAGCCAACGTATGACTCGATGGTTTCCCTCATCCGCCACATAGACAGTGCCCATGCCATCGGTCACCACCCCTTTTGGATAGTGCAGTTGTTTCAGACTATCACCTTGACCATTGCCACCAGCCACTACTTGACCTTGTTGAGCACCTTCCACCCATTTCATTACACGATGATTCTCGTTGTCCGCCACATAAACAGAATGATCTCGATCGACGAAAACGTATGTGGGAAACTTTAGTTGGTCAACACGATCTCCTTGGCCATTTCCGCCAGCTACTACCGTTCCTTGGGAATCACCCACTTTAGAACGTCGGACTTTCTGATTTCCAGTGTCCGTGACATAGAGAAATCCACGATGGTCCATCGTTAAACCCCAACAGGCGATGCTGGACTGGAGAATTTGTCCTTGAGTGCCATCGCGACGAGGCCAGCGAATCACACGTCTATTACCGCGATCACAGATGATAAGACTATCAGTCGATCGATCAACGATTATATCGGTTGGGTAATCTAACTGATCCAATCTGTTTCCTTGTCCCTTACCACCGGCTAACACTTGACCAGAAGTGGCCCCCGCTGACCATGCCATAATACGATGATTGGAGTAGTCAGCAACATAGACAGTTAGATCATCATCCACATACAACCCCCATGGCTTCGAGAGTTGACTTAACTCTCCACCTTGACCGTGACCACCAGCAACAATGCTGCCATTGGCTGACCATCGAGCTTGCGAACTGAAACCAATGTCAGTACCTCTCATGGGTGTCGCTAAAATGATAGAATTGAACAAAGAGATGTGTTCTTTTCAATAAGCCCAGTGAGCATTTTTATAAAAATAAATAAATGTTGATCCCATATAAAAGAATAATCAGAAGTGTTCTCTCTATCATAAGACAAAAAGAATGACCACGATTTAATCAGTGTTCCAGCATGATCCATTGGCAACTATTCCATTTTCTTATCACAGAGAGCGTATAAAAGAAGAATCATACTAGTGTTTTATTTATCTGAGTATGTGCGCATAACTATATATCGAACAAACCCATGTAAAACTACTGATCAAAAATATTGCCTTGTCACAAGTAACGCTCGTCGACAGGACTCGCTTAACCCTCGACTGAATTCAATCTTGTTATCATCTGTTATCGTTTTCTGAGTTCTGTTTTCACAATTATTGTGCAACACATGCACAGACGAAAATTTGTCTACAATATTGTCAGTGATGACCATTTTGTAAAAGATTCGGACCTGTCTATTTTTCATTCTGAATTTCTAAGATTTAAGCAAACAGCTCGCAGTCGATTGTCATGATTGCATTAAACTCATGTCCCAATCCTCTCAGATCATAGTCTGACGATGTTTCTTCTTCCTCTCAAATTTTCAGTTTTATCGAGAACTTTTTGTATTTCCGGATCCTACTTCCAAGAGCTAGATGTCGAAAACATCTGACCATCTATCTTTTCGTCGATGTTTTTTTGACCCTGCGACAATACGACAAACTTATTTTATTTCATATGACCCTCCCTACAATCGAGGAAATACAGCCCATTTTTTAATAATTGAATTCTATTCTAAACTATGAACACACTACATCTTGTTGTGACAATCAATTTTTGCGAAAGCATTAAGCTCCTTCATGAATGATTAGGTTGACGTTGTTCTATAAAGCTTTTTTGGTGTCTGAGACATGACAGTATATACATATATGTTCAGACAGAAAATCAAACCAAACGAAAAGAAAAATTATGCATACAGATGTTCATAAAGAGAGAACATAACATGAGTCTTATTTTCTAAAGATGAATGAAATACCACTATTCAATACCGATGAAATAATAAATGAGATAAATTTTTGATGAAATATCTATCACGCCATAACTAGTACTTAAACTAGCAGACTCGGAGAAGTTCGAAGTTTTACCCAATTCTATCTTATTTGTTATTTAATCGACTTCCAATACATTGATTAAATTTATTATTTTAAAAAATGCCTCAAAATTTTAGTCTCTATTTTGGATCATATCTATGAACAATTTTTCCTTCGTCTTTCATACGTTAATATATATGCAATACTGTTACGTTTCAGACAACCAAAAACCAGATATAGAGAAAAACCTCAAGTTAATCATTCATGCTACGAACAATGTTTTAACAATATTTGCATTGCACAACATTGTACTATGAGCTCATGGCAAACTCTTCGTAACAACGGCGCTTTACGGACTGCGATTTTAACTTTCCTTTTTCAACTCATTCACGTAACGACAGAAGTGTATTCTGATATTAACTGTGATATAGTCCAATGTTCTCCCGCCTATTATAGAGAACAAGAGGAATAATAGAGCGAAACGATCGTAAGAGACGCAGATATTGCGCAGTTGACAAAACAAACTCAGCTTGTAATAAAGCCCATCCATTTTCACCATCGTACTCATTCAATGCGCTGTTTGCTATGCTTAAGACGAAATTGTGAAATATACGGAACGACCAACTAACTCAATAAAAAAAAGTATGTGGGATGGTATATAAAGAAGATTCGCTCCAGAGACATAACACACCAATGTTTTGATTGCTACACTAGCAACTATCTCTGCAATTACATGAGAAATCATCATCTCTATATACAAAAACGCTTGTATGTATTTTCATTACAGATTGGAAAATTATTTTCGGTTCAGTTCTCGAAGATCTTATCTAGGAAATGCAGGACTGTACCCATGTCTTGTTTGCTTCACACTTCTACTCAGCATGCTTAAATCAAAGAACGTGGTTTCTCTCATTCTTCCAAAAACTACAGTTTTTATTTGTGAGACATTCAGAAAAACGCGGTGCTTAAGATATTCAACATACTGAAGTGCGCATTCGGTCTTCAGTCAACCTTCCTATTGTGATATCTTTGATACAAACATACCACATCCAAAACAAAGATTTCGTTCCTAGAGCAAAGCTTCATCAAAACGGCCAAAAGTCTTAAAATAAGAAAGGTCCTTTCTGATTGACCGGTTCCTGACCAATGAAACTTCGACCAAAGAAATGGACTTCGAATTCGGATTCCGGGCCCTCGATAACCTATAGCAAAATTCAGTCAAAACGGTCAAAAGTCTCAAAATTAAAAAGTTTGTTTCTGATTGACCGGTTCCTGACCAATAAAACCTCGACCAAATAAATGGACTTCGTATTCGGATTCAGGGCCATTGATAACCTATAGCAAAGTGCCGTCAAAACAGGGGAAAGTCTTAGAATAAGCGAACCTCTCAAATATGTTTTTTTCACCTCAATCAAGCAAGCAAACGCATTTTGTTTCGTATGATCCTCCCTTCAGTCAAGGGAATAAAGGGTGTCCCAGAAGTTCTGTTACAATTTTGAAATTTATCGTTCTCGCGTTCAACAAAAGAAAACTTTTTGAAACTTTG